CCCCCCCAAGGGATAACATTTGGTACATCTCTGCATCTCTGGCCTCTTTCTATATAAACACACATTCACACACAGAAAATTGTATAAAATTCCCTTTGGGCTATATGTGTATGGTGTCATTGAAGTATAAATGAATTTCATGTTTAGACTTTGATCCCCTTTCAAAGATAGTTGTCTCATTTTATATGTGCAAATATTCCTAAACACAAAACGCATTCTACCTCTGGTTTTCCAGACAGAAGACACAGCTGTAATTAGTTCTGGTGTCCTCTTGGGGGGGTCCCATTGCTGATGACTGGCCATCAGGGAACAGCTGTGAGCAGCGGTAGGCATAGAATCTTGCCAGGATTATAGCCTGCCTTCCTGGCACACAGGGACAGAGGGCCCCGCCCTGTCCCCTCACCTCTGACCAGCCACGTCAGAGTAAGAGATGTGTAAGAAGAGGGTTCCTGGTTGCTAGCTGGCCTGCCTCTGCCATTAGCAAAAGCATTTGACAAGTTGACTCTGGGTACCCCCGCAGGTTGGGGAGCTGACTAGTGCCCAGCCCCCAAGGCCGCTGAGTCTTCTCCAGGGACAGGGTGAGCACAGGACTCCTCAGTGCTGTCACCGATTCCTTCATTTCGGGGGGCCGCTGTCGGGTCATGAATGTCTCTTTCTTGGTCCTGAAGATTCCGTCCAGCTCCAGTGGGTGAAAGTCTCCTGCCGTCTGTGGGTAGTAACCTGTTCTTGAGAGCAGTTGAGTGATCAGACGGAGTTGTTGATGCTGAGCACATTTATTTTGATGTTCCAGATAAGAGTAAAGAAAGTTCCCATCAGCATTTTTTCAAGCACGGTGGCACGGCAGAACTCAAATGCTTCCAAAAGTCTAACCTGGCCCGGGTGGTGTGGAAGTTCCAGAACGGAGAGCTGAAGGCTGTGAGTCCCAAGTATGGCTTTGTGGGCAGGAAGCACCTGCTCATCTTCAACCTTTCGGATGGAGACAGTGGTGTGTACCAGTGCCTGTCAGAGGAGAGGGTGAAGAATAAGACCGTCTCCCAACTGCTTGCCAAGCACATCCTGGAAGTGAAGGTGATACCTCGGACCCCGACCTCACCTGCCTCACAGGCTGCTCAGACAGAAGGTAGTAGGATCACTTCCAAAATGCCGGTGGCATCTACCCAGGGGTCCTCTCCCCCTACCCCGGCCCTGTCGGCCACCTCCCCCAGAGCTGCCACCCTACCTCCCAAGTCCTCCTCCACCGGCACGTCCTGTGAACCAAAGATGGTCATCAACACAGTCCCACAGCTCCACTCAGAAAAGACGATGTATCTCAAGTCGAGCGACAACCGCCTGCTCATGTCCCTCCTCCTCTTCATCTTTGTCCTCTTCCTCTGCCTCTTCTCCTACAACTGCTACAAGGGCTATCTGCCTGGACAGTGCTTAAAATTCCGCTCAGCCTTATTGCTTGGAAAGAAGAAACCCAAGTCAGACTTCTCTGACCTGGAGCAGAGTGTGAAGGAGACACTGGTGGAGCCTGGGAGCTTCTCCCAGCAGAATGGTGACCAGCCCAAGCCAGCCCTGGATACCGGCTACGAAACAGAGCAGGACACCATCACCAGCAAAGTGCCCACAGACCGAGAGGACTCGCAGCGCATTGATGAGCTCTCTGCCAGGGACAAACCGTTCGATGTCAAGTGTGAACTGAAGTTTGCAGATTCGGATGCTGATGGGGACTGAGGCCAGCGTGTCCCGGCCCGTGCCCCGAGTCCCCCGTGGAGAGTGTTGTGTTGCGCCCATTCAGTAGCTGAGTCTTGTCAAATCGTGTACCGACCTCAGTCCTTTGTCTCTCCTCTCTTGGATTGAGCCTGTGACTTGTCCCTTTTGTCCTTTTGGGAAACAAGTATCTATTCCAGTCTCAAGTCCTGCAGTCGCTGGAGCGCTTATTTAAGATGCACCTGAGCCCTTTGTATCCTGGGGAAGAGATGGCCGCCTCTGCGGGCCGAGAAGAGCCGCCCCTCCTCTCCCCTTCTTGTAGCAGCCACTAAAAGATAATTTAATTCCAGATTGGAAGTGACGTTTTAGTTTATCAGATTGGTAACTTATCACTTGCTGTCCAGATCGGCACGGACTTTTTCTTTCCCTTAATTATTTTTTTAGGAGTTTTGCTCTGATTATGTTGATGTCTTAGGTCATTTTTTTTTTTATTACTGAAGGAGATGTTTTAATATTCATGAGAAGATGAACATTTTCTAGATTTTTGTTATATATTGAGATACAATATGGCTATGTTGCTTAAGATTCTCAGGGATAGACTTATTTTTGCTAAATTCATTCTTTCCTGCTGTTACTAGGTATGTAAGCCTAAAACTGTCTCTTGAACTCACCTTTTTTATTTTGGTGAGATTTTTTTTTTTGGTTATTATTTGTTTGTTTTTTAATCTTATTCATTTTGAAGGAAGTACCGTTTTCCAAGATTTTCTTTCTGTACTTTTTTCCTACCGTTCATCTACAAGGTGGGTTTTGAGCGAGGGCAGGTGGCCGAGTGGCTGGCGGCAATTGAGCTGCTCCTATGAGGGGAGGGGGGCTTGTACCCCAGCAGTCCTGCTCCTTCCTGGCACCTCCTGCCCCGACGGGTGGCATCTTCACGAGGACAACTTTGGTTCTTGGTCACATGCTGTCTCTCCTCGCTTCCGTCTCACATCACTGCCCTTGGACTTCCACCTTGACTGTCCATACAAGACAGAAACAGGTTGGGCAGCGGGCTCCCAGCCTCGGACAGTGACCACAGCGTCCCATGTGGCCAGCCGCTGCTGCAGCCTGTCTTCCGCCAGGCTTTTAGGATGTTAACGGGTGGTACGACTCTAACATTTGTTCTTCACATATTGTGTGTGGGACACTCATCCCATGTAGAGTGATGAGCTCTGGATCCCTTGAGCCGTGTAGACATTCATCTTCAGCATGACATGATCTCACCTTTCGGTGTAAACATTTGTGTTTATAAGATTTACGTTGTTTTTATTTTTCTACTTTGAACTGTACACATTTGAAAAGTACCCAAATAAACCAGAAGCTTTATCATTGACTGGGCCAGCCCTTCCTTAGTGGAGGCTGTGTGGGCCTCCCATCCCTGTGTGATGGCCCGGGTGGGGGTTAGGCCCGGGCTCTTTTCTTTTCTCATTCCCATGTGTCTGGTTTCTTGCTTTTCCTTCTCTGGCATGGGACTTGTTCTGATGACTTCTCCTTAGTGCCTTCTTTTCTGTCCTCTGTCTCACAGCCTCATCTCCTAAGTCCTTCCCTTCTCCTGGCTCCTCTCTGTCCTGTCTGGGCCCTGGTTCATCTCCCAGAAGCCCTTGGCCGGCTTTGGCCTCAGGGCCCAACAGTCGTAAGCTGGTTACCTTGCTGCCACCCTTCCTGAGTGACCAGGCACAGCAGGTGCAGGCGCTGGGGACCTTCTACCTCTTCTGCCAGGCCACAGGTGAGTTGGCGGAGTGTCCATGGCTGTCCCCGTATTCTGCCCTTACCGCTCACTGCTTTCCCAGTTGTGCCTGAGGTTCAGCTGTGTGTGCTTTCAGCCCTGTTGATCCTGAGATAAACTGTGAACAGTGTGAGACCGTTGCTAGAGCAACAGCAGGGGTCATCCAGCTTATTGCTGTAAAGGTACAGGTGTGAGATTGCCTGTGCTTGCAGGTTCTGTGCTGTAGAAGCAGCCGTCAGGGTGGCGTGGGCACCGCTGTAGGTCAGAAAACCTACAGGACTGCAGAGAGCGGGGATGAGGTCTGGATTGCTAACCTGGGTTATGGAGAGAATTTAAAGCCAGCCTGGGCAACTTAGCAAGGCCCTGTTTGGGAATTTGAAAGTAGGAACAGGGATGTACCTCAGTGGTAGAGTGCGTGACGAGCATGTACCCGGTCCCGGGCACAAGAATTAAAATAGTAAGAGCATAAAATTCATGAGGTGGAGGGTTTCTTCTACGTTGAAGAATAGGGACATGTACTCTTGCAAAATGATTTTACCAAACCATTCTTCAGCTCGGGAACTCCCTGAGCTCCGTCTCTAGCTGTGGGCTTTGGCCTTCATACAGAGGCCAGGCATGGAGCTGATTGCAGGAAAACCAAACCCAGCTTATCTCAAAATTGCTTTTTAACTATCAAAGCTGTGGAAGACTTGAAAGTGCCACTTGCCTTGTTTAATTAGCTCTAGGATCCTGGAGCCTGTGTTGTCTGCTGTGAATGCGACATGTGGTTGGCAGCTGGTGACTCTGTCTACAGAGGGTGGACAGAAGTTGCTGTGGGCCTGACTCTGTGACAGGTCATCAGCGGATGTGTGATGCTGATTGACCTTTTGAGTTGAGGTCTTACTCTGGATGCCCAAGATGCCCCTGGGCTCTTGGGCTCCTGTAACACCCCTGCTTCAGCCTCCCGAGTTGCTAGGTCCCCCGGTGTGTGTCACTGTGCCCAGTGGTCCCTGGTCTTGGGCTTGGTGCTGCGGGTCAAGCCTTCATGTAGACACTTGCATGTTCTTCAGTTAGGTATTTTAAGATTTATCATTTATTTGTGTGTATGTGTGCATATGTGTGAATGCATGGAGGGGCCTGAAGCTGGAGTCATGCACGCTTGTATGTCGCCTGATGTAGATGCTGGGGACTAAACCTGGGTCCTCTGCAAGAGAAGCAAGTTGTCTTAACTGCTGAGCCATCTCTCTAGCCCTCTTTTCAAATATTTTAGACTCAGACAGCTGATGGAAAATCCCTTGTCTTTAAGGGGTTTGTGTTCTGTGAAACTGTTACCTCACTCTTGCCAGGCCTCAGGCTGGGCCCACATGACCCACATGTAGCCCTGCCACAATGCCGCCACCTCAGCACTTCTGAGAGGTGCCGAGGGAGGTCAGGGACCAAGGAACCACAGCTGGGGACCCAGTGGGGACCAGGAGTGTGTAGAGAGGAAGTGGGAGCCGAAGTATGTGGAGTGGGAGGAGTGGGTGCCTTTCCCAGCCCCTCAGAGTGGAGTGAGCATAGACTGGGGAGATGGCTCGGTGATGAAAGTGCTTGTCGTAAAAGCATAAGAACTGGGGTTCTCACCCCAGAATCTACCTAAGTGCTTGGCAACCTCTGGGTTTGATTGACAGGCTCTGTCTCTGAATACAGCAGAAGAGTGATTAAGAGTGATCCTGATAGCCTCAGGCCTATATGTGCACTCATACAGCGCTCTCTCTTTCCCTCCTCTCTCTCTCACATAGAGTGTGTGGGAACAGATGTGGGGCCGCACCTCCTCCCTTGCCCTCTTTCTCCTGACAGTGTTCTCTTCTGTAAACATTTGGCCACATCTGGGGCCTTTCTTTTCGGTCCTGTCCCCCACTGAGGCCAGGCAGGCTTTAGTGGTGTGAGCATGCTGGGCCTCTGCTGTCCCTCAGCAGGTGGCAGGGTTGGATCTGGGTCTGAAGACTTATCTGAAGCAGAGGCCTATGTGGCTTTGAACTGAACATCCTGCGGCTTTTCTACAAGAAGCCGTGTGTCTTCAGGCTCTGTCTCCGGTGTCTGCTGAGGAGACAAAGGTAGCTGTCCCAGATGAGATGCTAGATGCCTCTCCTAGCCCAACCACAGCCCCATCCTGCATGCCCAGGGCAGGGCAGGGCAGGGCAGGACAAGTTGGGAACCTTGACCTGGGTTTCTCTCCTTCCTAAAACAGCTGTTCACATGATGGTTGCTGTAAGTGGCTTGGGGCTGGCTGATTAAAGGCCTGGCAAGCTGTTTTTAGAACATGAGATTTAAAGAGAGGGTGGACAGGGACTCTTCAGCCCCTTGGCTTGTATCCTGTACCCTCTTTGACTCTGCCTGTGACCCGGAGCTATCCTGGAAAGCCTCTCCCCTCCAGAGGGTTGGTCAGAGGTCAGAAAGCTAGGCTTGTACTCAGGCTTGGCTGTTGGCCCTGCGCCCACCCAGGGCCTCTGTGTCATCTGGATTGGATGAGTGTTTCCTAGGGAATAAAGTGATGGGGACACACCCTTCAGCAGCACCCAAGTAACAGGACCAGAGCAGGTGGCATCAGGCCACACCAACACCAGAGCTGCCCTACACATGGCTGCTGGGGAGGGCATGGCCTGTGGCCTAGTGCTGGAACGACCTCCCTTTTAGTGGCAGGGAAAAGGTAGCAGGATCTGGCGCTGCCTTCCTCAAGTCTTCGTGTCTGAGTCTGAGGTCCCTATGCACGCCCAGCCAGTGCCTGAGGGACTGCAGTCGCTGCACTTCCCCACGATACACTCTAGTTGCTTCCCACGCCACACACCACCACACACCCTCATACACAGCACATACGCTGTGCCACACCACACCCCAGACACACCACACACGCCATGCCACACCACACACCCCC